ATCCCTCCCTCTCCTCCCGGAGCCAGCACCTGTTCCTGCAGTGTCTCCCCTCTCACCTTGCCGTTGCTGTGGCTGTTTCTCTGCCAAGTGTATCATTTTCTCATCACTGCGAGAAGGAAGGTTGAGCAGTATAAGGGAATGAGGGTCTGGGTGATGGCAGATAGGGGTGAGCTTTCTGAGAAGGAAACAGGACAATGGATGAAATCAGGGAACAAGTCACACAATCAAAGCAGAGGTGTAGGGAGCAGGAATGGCCACTGAGCAGGTTTTCTAGGATCCCATGCAGACCGGGTAAAGGGGGAGTTCTGGAGCCCTCAGGGGTTTTGCAGGTCTTTTATTGGGGTTCACCAGGCATATGGCAGGCAGGGGTGCTGGGGGGCCGGGAGGCTGGCAGGCCTTCCAGCCCCCAGCAAATCCTCACTCTATCTGGGCTCTCTGGTGATCTCGGCTTCTGCTTCTCTTGCTTCTCGCTCAGCTTCTGCTCGGCTTCTACTGGCGTCCCCGTGTTGCCGCCCTTAAAAGCACAGTCTCAGCCCAGGTGAATCCCATCTACCTCTGCCCACACCCTACTGCAGGTGCCCGCCATCAGGCATGCACTCAGGACCGCAAGGATCCATCATCTATCCTGATGGCGGGAGGGCAGAAAAGCCTGACATTTTTCCTTACCCTACAAGAGGGAATCATCGTGCAAAGGCCCTGAGGTTAGCATGGGTTGGTGTGATCAAAGATAGCAAGAAGGCCGGTGAGGACAGAGAGGAGTGAGCCAGGCTGAGGAGAAGAATGTTGGGTTTTGTCTTAAATGCAATAGGTGGCCGTGGGGTGCTTTGAGCCACCAGCCATGGCCATCTGCTTTCATTTAAAAAGCACCATTCTCATGACTTCAAGGAAGAAGACTGTAGTTGGGTAGAATCAAGAGCTAGAGCCTCAGTCCAATCAAAAGATGATGGTGACTTGAAGGTAGATCATGGTGAAAGTGAGGAGTGTGCACCCCAAAATATGTAGTTCTGTAAATTAACGGCAAATCAGTAAAGCTTCAATCAAAAAAGAACAAAGAAATAAGTAAATATGAACAACAAACTCAGTGTCTCTTATGACAGTATAGCCACAGGATTTGCTGATGAATTAAATGAAGACTGATGAATGAATTAAATGAATGCTGATGAATTCAATGAAGAAGCAAGATGGCGCCAGGTTTTTACCAGCACATGGTCTGCACCATTTGTCAGGAGGGGAGGTTTGGAGACATTCAGGTTGTGGGGGAGGTCAAAAGTTCTGTTAAGATACCTCTCAGAGGTCCAGATGGAGGTGCGTGGTTGGAGGGTAGACTAAGACTGAGCTGGTGGAATTGTTGGGGGAAATTGGCACAGAGCTGAGGGTGAAAGCGCGGGAATTCAATCACTGTTGACAGGAGGCGTGGGGATAGATGAGGGTCTTCACAGAGGAGAGGACTAGGGCCAGGTCACAACTTAACTCCACCTGCAGGTGTTCTTTAAAAACTCAAGTAAAGGGGCCTCCCTGGTGGTGCAGAGATTAAAGACACAGCGCTGCCTGCATCTACTGCAGCACGAGTTCCATCCGGCCAGGGAGCTGACCCACATGGCGCAGCAGCCCTCTCCTGTCTCCCCGCTGCTCCCCTCAGCATTGTATTTCAGTCAGTCTGCCTATTCTGCTCCCTATTCTGTCTCTGGTGAATCCTCTCACGTGCTCACCCCCCACCCCCATACACCTTTGGCCTCTACCCCAGTTCTTATATGCATACATAAATAAATCTTTAAAAAAAAAAAACCCTCAAGTATCTCGTGCCCACAATTGAGCTGGTGATGCCCCAGCAAGCAGGTCTCTAGATGGCCTTTGCAGCCCAGTCATTGCCGTGGTGTATGATTGAAAAGGCCCCAGGAGAGCCTCCTGTCTGCTAAATAAATACAACGAATTAAAATGCATTGCTTTCGTTGCACAATTATTCAGAGTGTCTTGTTAAAAATATGGCTTGACCCATGAGAGGTAGTGTGTGGAACTGCTAATAATTTATTTGGCACCAATGTAGAATAGTAAAAAGAGCCTGGAATTTGCAGGTAAGAGTCCTGGTTGGAGCTGACTGTCATTATGACACTGAGAAGGCTACTTCATCTCAGCAGGTCAGTCTGTAAAATGGGAAAACCTGTTCTCGGCCTGTTTGTCATGTAGCGGTGACTGTCGAATAAGAGCGTGTCTGCAAGTGTCCTGGTGGCTTTAAACACTATCAAAATAATGCCTGTGACTTTTTTAAAAGCCAGTGAGTGTGTTATCTTTCATTTTACCCTCTCATCATCTCAGTGAGGTGGGCAGAGCAGTTATTAATTAACCAGAAATGATCCACAGTCCCAGAGAACTAGTTAATTATTTCTATGACATAATGACCTATATTCAGGTGCCTTTTATACCGACTCATCTCTCAAAACTCATTTCCAGCATCATCTCCTCGGTGTACCTTCTCCTCCCTGCCCAGTCCCCGCAGTGCCGCTCACTCAATGCTGTTGAATGAATGGATAAATGTGTGACTTACTATAGAAAAGTAGTTTTCACACTTTCCGAATGGCAGTCCACAATCAGTGTGTAAAAACAGGCACATATTCCTGAAACAATACTTAGCTTGACTTCATGGAATATACTTTGATCTTTTGTGTTCTAATCTGTGTCTCTCTTTTTTAAAGAAAATGAGGGCTACAGCTGAATTAATTTTACTACCCAGACTCATGTGTTGTGACCCACAATTCAGAAAACACTGTGGTGGAATATGCCAGATGCCAGAAACCTTGTGTTTTTGCAGTCAGCCAGTCACATGGGTTATAGCTGAGGCTTACCCAGATCTAGCAACAATGCTAATTCTAAAGAATAGGAATAAGGAGCAACGGGAAGAGACACGTAAGCATCTGGCAGCTCAGAGATTTACTGCACGTAATGTACTTCCATTTTTTTAATGTCCTGTGTGAGGAAATCAAAACAATAAATGCTTGGGTTTTGGACAGTTAGTAATTTTAGTCACACGTATGTCATGGAGACTATGTAGAAATTTGCCAGGATAACTTTCAAATAAAGTCAGGTTCCCCTACCCAAAATCTTTGGGCTCTGGATATGGTTTTTTTTTTTAAAGATTTATTTATTTATATATAGAAGAACTGGGGTACAGGCCAGGGATGTGGGGGTTGAGAGGATTCACCAGAGACAGACTGGGGAACAGAACAGGCAGATTGACTGAAATACACTGCTGAGGGAGCCTCAAGTGAGTCAGCAGAGGTCTGCTGCACCATATGAGTTGCTCCCTGGCTGGGGGTCGAACCTGTGCTGCAGTGGCCTCATAGGTTGTGTCCTAACTCCTTGCGCCACCAGGGAGGCCCTCCAGATATGTTTCTGATGCACAACTTTTGGAATCTGAAAGGAAATTCAATAAGCATGCTGTATATCATATATATTGTGCCCGGCAGAGTCTTGAGCCTCAGCCCGTAATCAAACACATTGATTTTTTTCTTCAGAAAATGCATGAATATTCATGGTTAGTGGCATAAAGAGTATGACTACATCACATTGGCTGAGGTGACTAATGGGATATGAGTATGTTTTCCATTTTCAGAATTTGGGGAGTTTCAGGAAAACCCATAAGGCATTATGGAAATAAAATTTTGTTATCCATATATCATTTTTCTTTTCAAAATCAACAGGACTATTTACCCCATTAGGAGACTATGTTCTGGCTCAGGGCCTGATACATAGAAGGCACCTAGAAAATATGTGTTGAATGAATACTCAAGACCAACTGAAGCTTCTATAAAACTCCTGTTGCAACCAAGTTGCTTTTGAGGAGATAGCCCTCTAGTTCTTCCCTGGGGCCCTCAAGATTTATTCCATTTCTTGTAAGTAGATGGAAGCCTTATTGCTTCCACTTGGCTCCCTCCACGAGAGGGGAGAGGTGCTTGTGGATTCTTTGATTTCTTTTTTCTTCCTTCAAGTCTTGCATTTAAGGAAAGAAGAAGCAGTTCCACTAGTTTTAGAGGGAATTGGGAAAGATATAAAGATTTTTTCCATTTGTACTAGCTCTAAAAATGAGTCAAATTCAGAATTGTCCTTTCTTCTTTGTGTTGGAAAAAAAAATTCAATGGCGTAACCAGTGCTGTCAATAGTCTGATTTTTATTTATTTTGCACTGAATGCTTAATTTGTTGGGAATTGGGGTTTGACAACTTGGCTTTACAAATATTTGGGTTCAAATTCTGACTATGCCAAAATCTCAACATATCACATAAACTCTTTAATTGAAGCCTTACTATCTCATTTAGAAAATGTATGCAATAATAAGCCAGTAACTAGGTTATGTGTGAGGATTAAAAGATAACACACATGGAGAACATGGAAAATGTTGTTTTTATTGTTAATAATATAAATAGTGTTTATGTTAATATTCTTTCTCACTGAGGTGACTAAGCAAAAGCACAGACTAGATGCAAATACAATCTTTACCAGTCTCCATTCCCTCATTTTTTTTTTTTTAAATATGGACTATAGTAGTCGGGATGGGCTAAGTTATGTTCCAATAACAAATATCCCCAAAAATCTGTACCTTAGTACTATAAAGTCTTATTCTGGATCACAAAAATTTCTCTGTGGGCTCAGAGCTGTCTACTGTGCTGGACACTCACTTTAGGCAGTTTTGTTCTTACAGCCTTTACAGCAACACATACTCCCCAATTGTTGCAGCAAAACCTGGCAATTCATACCATGACTCTTAAGTGCTTCTGTCCTAGAAGTGACTCATATCCCTCCCAACCCCATGTTGTTGGATAAAGCATGTTCTGCCTTACTCTAAAACAGTGGGGAAGGACAGTCCTGCCATGTGTCTGAAAGGAAGGGAGGACTAGAAATGTTGGAGAGAAGCTTTATGATGTTGACCACATAGACGTGTATCCTGTTTTCACTCTTTGTCAATTACTTTCACAGACACAGCTTAAGCTCTAGCACCCTCTCCAACCAGGCAGCTATCCTGAAAACCCACAACATAGAGACTCTGGATCTACCACTGTTGAAGATGATCTTTGGGGATCATTGAGCTGGCTCTGTCTTAGACAATTTGGTGGAAGCGATTTCTGGAAGCTTAAAGTGAGCCATACCTTCTGGACTAGAGTCCCTCACTTCCAGTGTTTTCCTTTACCCCAATGATACTGAATAGTTATGCTAAAAATTAAGAGTTCCTCCAGTTGGGGGTACTTTGGGAACTTCCTTCCTTTTCTAAGTGTGGAAACTCAGACCTAGGCAGAAATAATAAAAAACTGAGACCTAGGCAGAAATAATTTTTAAAAACTTTATTATTTCTGTTATAACTAAATGCTAAAAGCTTTTGAGTTTTACTCTTCTAAGCCATAAACAGAAGGAGAAACTGTCTAGCAGAGGACTTCTAAAGACCAATCTTCCACACAGATTGTGTTTGCTTTCTTACCCTTTGATAGAGCTTATTATTGTCCAATGTTCCTAAGAAGAGCTGAACTGCAGAGATTCTGCTTTTCAAATCCTGAGCCTCTGGGTCTTAACTGAGGTCTCTGTTCCTGTCTTCTGCCAGTGTGAACATTAATATTCAGAACTCTGTGTAAACGAGTTTGGATGGCCACAAAGATTGCCCACGCATGCACACTTCAGCAAATTGGGGACAAGATGCCTTGCATCTCCCCTGGGATGTGTGGTGGTTCCCCTCCTCCAGAGGTCATTTAAGGGGTTGTTAGCCTCAGATTTGGGGAAGTACAGCAGGTTCTTGCCAGGAAGGCACTCTCCACCTGCCCTTTTTTTTGTTGTTTGTTTCCAAATAAACTGTTGTTGGAATAATCAATTGCTTTTGTCAGAGGGTAACATCAGGTATCTTAGACCCAAGGGAAGGGAGGCCTGTTACTGTCCTTACTGTTACTGTTAAAGCATTCAAGGCCCCCCATGTAGATCATGTCCAGAGAGACAAACAGTGTCTCTCTTGGACCCTAACAGATCACAGTTCAAGGTCAGGGAACTTGCATTCCTCTCTGCCAGAAATTGCTGACCTTGACCCTTTCAGTAGATAGGATGTTACATCTAATCTTGGGCCTTCCAGTGTCTCCATGAGATTGGGATTTTCTCCCCCAGATTCAGAAGACAGCAGGTATCTTTGGGGTCTTGGATTTGGATCTGATAAATTGGAGGGCCAAAGGTGGCTGTCTTGATGCCACCAATGCTAATATCTCTGACGCTTGAGGTTGCTGAGTACAAAGAACTGAAGGCACAAGGGCAGATCTCTTAAATTGTGTGCAAATGGTATTTTTTCCTGTGAAATCTCAATACCTCCCTTAGGACATTGCATTTGAGATTTTGAGCCACTTGCCTCTGATATTTACTCGTTGGGGATTTTACTCTTGAGAAATCACTGTGGCAACAGAACCATTTTGCCTCCATGAAGACGATGTCAAAGTCTTAAAATCCAGGACGTTTTAAGGCAGGATTCCAACCTCATTACTGCCAGGAATAAGATTCATCCAAGGTGGAAGTGTCCTCCCTTAGAACTCAAATCTGTCTCAGAATGGCTTTTCTTTCTCTTTTGTTTTTGAAGCTAAGCAATTACCTTTTTTTTTTTTTTTTAAGAAAAAAAAAATTGTGCTAATGCACAAAACTCTTTTTCCCCTTTCATTTATTTGGAATTGAACTTAACAAAGTCAGTTCTGAGCAAGCACTATATATGAGTAATGCTTTTTGTCCATAAAAGAGCATTGACTCAAATGGTATGGGAGTGCTGATTCTCTCCGCTTTGTGCGAGCGTCCGTAATGACAAAGTGCTCATGTCACAGTGTATAATGAAACTATAAATTGTTTTCATGAATGCTCTGAATTTGGTCTTTTACGGGGCAAATTCAAAAGGTATTTAGTGCCACATTTCACATATGTGAATAACGCCAGACGGTGCAATATATCCAGTCAAAGTAAAGAGCCCCCTTTGGGTTCACCTGGGTCCATGTGGTGGGCGATTGTCAGGTGAGCCGGGTCCAGGTGGTGGAGGGGGACGAAGGAGGGACAAAAATATTCTGCGACTCTTCTATTTAGGGATACGTCAAAAAGGAGGAGGGGAGAGCAGAGAGCAGGGTGTGAAGGGGCCGGACAGATGATGATGGAGGATTGTGGGAGCCGTGGTGGTAGGTGAGGTTTGGTAACAGACCTCTGAAGAGGTCAGGACCTGTCACACTATCTCATGTACGGTGTTGTAAAGCAACACCAGTGTTACCTGAATTTAAAAAAAAAAAAAAAGCAAAAATAAAGTGTGGGTTGATAAAAAGAGTTAGATGGAGAAAGTCTAATACCATATGATTTCACTCAGATGTAGAAAATAAACAAAAATTCTTAATTAGCAAAACAGATTGGTGGGGATTCCAGAGACGGGACTTGGGTAGATGAGTAGAAGGGGCTCAGCGCTATGGCGGTGGATGGTGGTGATCACAGTGTAGTGTGTACAGATGTTGGATTGTCATGCTGTGCACCGGAAGCCTATGAAGATCTTAAGCCAATGTTACCCCAATAAAAATTTATTTTAAAAAGCGTATGGTGAAAATGCTTAGTTCACAAAATTGATGTCTGGGTGGTGGGTACCTGAGTTGAAATCATGGAAGAAGTTGTGCATATGTTGGCCAAGCTAGTGAATGAAAATTCTCAAGGGAGAAAACATCTGCGCTGCATAGGCAGGTGCGGTCTCTTGCAGTGATTTACGGTTCAATTAAATTATCTTTAATAACATTTTGTGTATTTTTTATCAAAGCCATGTGGGTTTATTCCAGAAAACCATAAAGAATAAAAAATTTAAAAACATGCAAATAATTTTGCTGCCATGAATGGCTAGTAATATTTATAGAAAATTTTATTGGAATATCTTTGTATATCCTTCCATAAAATTTTTGTAAAATATTATCTGGATATATAAATCCAAGCATTTTTCAAACAAAAGCAAGGTCCAGCTATGTGTCTATGTAAATTTTTTAAAAACATTCTTCTTTTTTACTTGTTTATCATATAATTATCTTATCTGTCCCAGTTTGCCTAAGTTCATAAACAGCTAAGTTCTGTCACAGGGGAGACATCTATTACCATTCATTTATATGGAAAACACTTTTAGTGCTCCCAGACCTAAAAAAAGTAACCCACCAAATCATGCCAAATAGGAGCCTTCTATGTTAATTTAGCAGGAGAAACCTGTACCTATGTGATCTCTGAAATCTAAAAAGGCAGCAAAGGCAGCAAGTCAGCCCTGCTGGGTGCATTAAACACAGACGCTTGACCTGTTTGACGGGTGGCTTGGATTTGTTTGTTTTGTAGTACCTGGTGTGCAAAAGGAAGCTGGAGAGTAAAAAGGAAGCCTTGTTGATCCTTTCCAAGGAGCTGGACACATGCCAGCAGGAAAGGGACCAGTATAAACTCATGGCCAATCAGCTGCGAGAGCGCCACCAGTCCCTGAAGAAGAAATACCGAGAGCTGATCGTATGTATTATAACCCTGACGTCCTGGCGCTGCATTAAGATAGAAAGCCATGCTTTTGACATGCTGTTTTTAAAAGGGTGCTGGAGGGTAGGAGAACGTGGGGAGGTGGGGCTTAAATTCAGATAGTTCCTAAGTGGAAAAATTAAGAAGTGAAAGCTGTCACCTCTGTTTCTTCTACCTAATCCCACTTGCTAGTTGTGGGATGTTTTCTACAGCTTGCTCCGCACTATGAAATACACACACGAGGCATGTGTTTCTGTGATTATGAATTTACTAACTTCTTTATATGGGATTTTTTAGAAAGAGGATTTGTGTTGTAAATATGCACTAATACTAGAGACTAGCTGCATGTGGTTATTTAAATTTCATTTTTAATTAGTTAGAATGAATTAGAACTGAAAACAGGTTCTTGGGTCTTGTTACATGTCACTGACTCAGTAGCCAAGGGCGGCTGGTGGTCTCTGCGTGGATTTCAGTGATTTGGAACAATTTCTTGGTGGCTCCTGTGTTGAACCATTAGTGATAGCACATTTCTTTCATTGCATAGTTCTGTTGGACAGCACTATGTGCCCGTTGCTCCACAACCTGCTCTTTTCACGCAACAATTTATTTTGGACATCTCTCTAGTCCACTTATATGGATTTAACTCATTTTGTAAAAACAATAGTTGCATAGTAGTATATTCCAAATTTTTTTAACCTTCCTGTTATTCTAGAATGGGATTTATGCATGTAGATCTTACTTTAGGTTTTCCTATGGAAAGAATTTTAAGGGTGCAAATTAAACTGATGATACCAACTGCATAGAGCTGTTTGGCAGCTTTTTTTACCCCCTCTCACTGATGCAATCTTCGTCTTTTATTTTTTTAAACACTGACACTATCGCTAACATGAAGCCATCTGTGCTGGGATCATTGAACTGTCCTGGAACAGAAATAGAGTAGAAAGATCCCTCAGGTGCAAATACTGTTGTTTTCTGTGTGGCAGCATCAGAGAGCACCGGTTAACTGCGCATTCACTCACTCACTCATTTGCTATCCCACACGACCCACAAGGGAGAGGAGTTAAATCCTTTGAACACAAAAACCTGAGCATGCTCAGTTAATTTTCCTCTATTTGGAGCATACCCTGTCCCTGTCCGCCTCCCCCATCTACTGTCCCCATCCGCCTTGTTTTGTCCATGGAGAAAACCCAAGCATGGGTGTGCACGAGTTTATTACTATGCCTTTGGCTCTCATCTGTTTAAGAGAGAAACTCCAGCCAAATGAAATTTTATTTCAGTTTAGGCTTTACTCAGAGATGATTTTGATAAATCCAGGGGTTTTTTAATTCCCATAGTTCTAAAAAATATATGGGTTTGGTCCTAATTGAAACAGATTCTCTAGGGGTTTCCCAGAATAACTCTGGTTCAGTTTATAGTCAATTTTTTTAGTGTATTCATGCTTGGTTTGACACATTACTGGCTTCAGAGGGTAGAACTGGGGAGGATCTGAATATAAACTGGAAGTTCCTTGAATCTAAACACATCTATTTTCTTTTAAATACAGTGTAACATGTTTCTTTGTAGGATGGCGATCCATCACTTCCCCCTGAAAAGAGGAAGCAGGTAAGACTGATTTCTGATCTTAGATGGTTCTAGGTTATTCCCAGTGATGTCTTACAACAGTGGGGCCAGGGGCAGAGTGATTGGGGAATCCCAAAATGGGGGGAGAAGTCTTTTAATTTTCCAGAATAATTTTGTACTTGGGGGGCAGAGTGGGAGAGAGAAATAATGGCTGTGATGAGGGGGTAGGGTGGGGGTTGAAGGAACCCAGGGATGTTTAACAAGGTGGAAGAGAGCTCTTCTGCTTCTTGCCCAGTTTCTTGTGGGACACCCTGCTGGGATGCTGCACTGAGGACTGGCTGCAGCTCCCTAGCTCTCTGGCCCCTGGGTGGACGCCGCCCTGCTGTTTAACACTTGCCACTTCAGACTTTTAAAAACAAAACACACAAGGCATTTCTGTTCTTTCCTCCTAACTGGTATAGTCAACATTGTTTATTGGTGAATCCCATACACCCCCAGTAAGGCAAGGGGAGATTTTACGTGCTCACACTTATTGGTGAAAATGTCTTATCCATACACATGATCTGTCCCTGTACTTTCTGTTCTGTCATATTGGGCTTCCTGTGTAATCCTGGGCTTGTACCCCATTATCCCAATCGTTTTTGCTTTATAACACTTTTAGTATCTGCTTTGGGCTAGTCTCTTCTTTGTCTTCCTTTTGCAGTGTTTCTTGTTTGTTACTTTTTGCAGATAAAACTTAGAAACATTTTATCAGGTGCTTCTCTGATCTTACCAAAGAATCAAAACACAAACAAGCAAGCAAATTTATTGGTATTTATTGGTATTTATTGGTATAATGGTTTTTTGTTAAATGTATGGATTAATTTGGGGACAGATAATTTTCATAATCTTATATCCTAGATGAATATTATAAATCAACTTTCTTTTAACTCAGTTGCATGTATATGCAAATAGATAGAGATATCGATATAACAGATATCTCTGCTAGAACTTTCCTTAACATCACAATTGTTCTGACATGCCCTTGCATGCCTAGCATAGCATTTTATGGACCCAAAATGAGCCCCAGAGGGGGTGATCTTAATGCTGTGTGATCCTGGACATGGCGGGAATCTCTACATCACAGCAAGACTTCAGATCTGGTGTAGCAAATAAGAACCCCAGAATTATTTAAAAGTCTCTTGATGGCTGGATGGGCAACACCCTGTTTGATTTCAGTGATGATATACCTGGTACTATGTATAAACTCCTTAAGCTTGTTACCTTGAATTGTTTGATGCTAAGTAAACAGTATCCAATGTGTGCACACAGGTGCACACACGCGTGCATGCGTGCGTGCACACGCACATACACACACACAAACAGCACTTTTACTCTTAAATGGCAACTCAGCGACTGCTCTTTCCCAGACTCCCTGCTTTATTTGATTATTTTATAATGTTCCATGGTTTATCTCAAATGAAATATTTCTGTGGAGCTAATTCATTTTTTTTTCCTAAACAACATTACACGGAAATTTATCGTTAATAAATTTTTAAACCTTAGAAGTTTTTAAATAAGCATTCTTTATCCCGAATGGCGAGATGTTTTTGTTTTTGTTTTTGGCAGCTGTGAGCAGTCATCTCTGCCATGACTTTAAAATTTGTTAGTATTCATGAAGGAGTTTTACAGTTTAAGTGCATTCACATTCCGTGACTTGATAATAAAAACTTTACACTGACCGAGGAGAATCTGATGAATTCCAGTAAGTCTGTCAAGCCATAGCCATTCTTACACCTCTAAACAAAAATCATGTCCTAAGCACCGACTTTGTAGCCTTTGAGGATTGGGGGTGCGGTGTGAGCTTGGTTGTGCAGCCTGAGTTGGAATCACTGACTTATCCCACGCAACAAGGTGCACTGGGGTGCAAGCCTCAGAAAGTCTGAATCATCAGCCTGATGCACCCAAAAGTTCAGAAGTAGTGCAGGCTTCTGGCGCTCTCCTGTGATGTTCTCTCCACTGTGCCACACATAGCAAATAAACATAGAGGACTCCCAAATAGAGTATCAGAGAGACAATGGATACTTTTTTAGTTAAAAGTACCCCCTGTGCAGCATCCAAGACATAATTACACTGAAACTTTAGGTATTGCTTATCTGAAATTCATGTTGAATGGGGCACCCTGTGTTTCATCTGACCACTCTACCACTCTGCCTGTTTTAAAGCCAGCTTCCTCTTCAATTTGGCATCAACTTCCTTTTTTTTTTTAAAGATTTATTTATTTATACAAGAGCTGGGGCACAGGCCAGAAGTGTGGGAGCATGAGAAGATTCACAACAGACAGTGTGGGGAGCAGAACAGGCAGATTGACTGAAAACACTGCTGAGGGGAGCAGCGGACGAGACAGGAGAGGTCTGCTGCACCATGAGAATCTCCCTGGCCAGCCGAGAATCGAACCCACACTGCAGAGGCTGCAGACAGCTTCACAGCGCAGTGCTCGACCCGCTGCACCACCGGGGAGGCCCTCAACTTCCTTTTAAGACTGGTTCCACCATACAGGAGAGGCAGAAAAATGGCCATGACATATAAACCATTTCCTCCAGCCTGATTGGGCCACTGTCAGATGCCCCCGTCCGGTCCCCTGGGACCCACTGGGAGGCAACCACTCATTCACTAGCTTCACTGTCACTCTGATGGAAAGGCTGTGAGGGGGCCTGCAGTGGCTTCCATCAAACTAGTTGTATGGCTTGGCAGAGTTTCCTCTGGGTATCTCAGCCTCAGCTTTCTCATCCATAAAATGGGAGTGAATCGGGTGCCCGCTTGCACAGTGTGACTGTTAGGAGCCAGCAAGAAGATGCAAGCTCAGTCCTGAGGACAGTGCATGGAGCAGGGTGAGAGTCAATAAGTATTCCTACTCCTCATTCCTTGCTTAAAAATCTCAATTTTATGTTAGTGTGTTGATTCTCCACCAACTTCCCTTGTCAGGACCCTTTGGGCAACACTTGGCATTTGAAGGGCTTGGGACCAAGAGGGATTCTTGGCACATAGAACCTCAGAAGGGTCAGCTGAGCTGCTGCCCTGGGAAGCAGCAGGGCCTCAGGGTCAGCTTCAGCCAGCGCTCAGGGTTCCCGGGCCCCTCACTGCCCTCTGCTCTCTCTCTGTCAGTCTCTCTGTCATGTTTGGGGATCCACTTTCTCTGTCGAATGGGAAACATCGCTGCTGACCTCAGAGGGCAACAGACCCTGTAATCTTTGACCATTAGGAAAAAGAGGGCTCCCCCACCCCAAGGAAGAGACGCCCTTGGAGATCCCTAGCTCAGGCCAGGGGCCCATTTCAACAACAGCCAGCGCGAGCAGGCATTGTGCAGTTCCAGACAGCTTCTGCCACCACCCTGATGAGATGGCGTCATAACCATCTGCTCCGCTCGCCTCCTTGGGACAGTCTGGCAAGGCAAGAGCGATGGCAGCCGACGTTTCTGAGCACTCACTTGTGGCGGGACGCCAGACGCTGTGTCACGTTCCTCTGTGGATGAGCTTACCTTTTTCTCACACAACCATGTGGACTAGATGTTGTTGTTTTACTGTTGTCATGTGACAAATGGGGAAACTGAGGCATCTGGTGGTAAAGGCAGTTGTCCAAGGGAATTAAGGTAAGTCATTAGTGAACTTAAGAATTTGAGCCCCTGGGCCTCCTCAGTGGTGCAGCGGTTGAGCGCTGGGTTGCGAAGCTGCCCGCAGCCTCTGCAGCACCGGTTCGATCCCCAGCTACTCCCCGGCCACCGGAGGAGGGTCCACATGGCGTGCAGACCTCTCCTGCCGCCCACTGCTCCCCTCAGCAGTGTACCTCGGTCCTTCTGCCTGCTCTGCTCCCCGCTCTGGCTCTGGTGAATTCTCTCACCCTCCCGCGCTTCTGACTGTACCCAGTGCTTGTATAAATAAATCTTTAAAAAAAAAAAAAAAAGAATTTGAGCCCCTGCAGTCTACTCAGAGCGTATGCATGGAACTACCATATCTCAGGAAGTATTTGCGGTGCCCTGTGCTGAGACAGTAAGGACACAGGGTGGAAAACAGACCCAAATTCTAGAACTTAGAGAATTTGCACTGTAATTAGGGTGACCAGACCTTCGATTTCCCAGGACCATCTGTTTATTTCCACCTTTTGTCTTGCCATGGTTTTTATTCATGTTTCCTTTCATGCTCCAAAGTGTCTTGGTTTCAATAATCAACAGTATAGTCATCTTAATTGTAGTAAGGATGCTAGGGCCAGACAATAAACAGAATAACTTTTCGTTTGTGGGATGTTCAGTGACGCTCCGTGCTGTGGCATAGATGTATCGGAAGGAAGGCACAATTGTTTTCTGAACTTTTTCACCAGCAGGAAGGGGCAGAAGCAAGCACCCTGACCTGTATGTCTCCTACATTACATTACATGTTTACCCCAAAGGCAAAACAGTAGGTGAAGTACTGCAAATACACCTTGTATAAGCAGAAGGCTCTGGAATAGGAACAGCTGCCAGGTTAGCAGATGGGCGTTGAAGGTCACGAGATCCACTTATTGGAAAAGGTGAAGTCGGCCCCTTTGAGCATCTTGTTGCCCATCGGCCTTGACTGACTTCTGTTTCTTGATTCAGAAAGAGGGAGCTCGTGGTCTGTCCTTAATGGACGCTTCTCCTGTTCACGTCTCAGCTCAGAGGGGAGATTGCTGTGATCTTCATTCTCCTGTGGACTGAATTTTTGTGCCTGCCCCTTCCCCCCCAAATTCATATTTTAAAATTCTACCCCCCAATGCAATGGCATTAGGAGGGGGCCTTTGGGAGTTGGTTGGGATGGGATGAGGCAGTGAGGGTGCAGTGCTCAGGATGGGGGATAGTGCCTTGTGAGGCTATTTGAGGGTCTGCAGCCCAGAGAGGGCCCTCGCCGACCCTGACCAGACCGATACCCTGAGCTCAGATTTCCAGCCTCCAAAAGTGGGAGAAATAAATTTCTGTTGCTTAAAAGCCACCTGGTTTATAGTGTTTTGTTATAACAGCCTGAGCTAAAATATGCTCCTTGGTGGACTTTCCT